GGGGGGGGTTGGAAGAGACCTCAGTGGCACATAGGGCAACAAAAGGAATAGCCTAAAGGTTTCCAAAGTACGGCCCGAGGGCCATTTGCGGCCCTTGGAGTGATTTTGTGCGGCCCACAACTGCAATTTAAGAACAGTATCATTTTGGCCAGCAGGGTTAAGAGGCCGATGCAAACTTTCTGCAAATTAGTTGCTAATCCTTTTTTATATAATGTTTAGGTTTAACAGCAAAACAAATAAAAAACAATCTTCTCAAAATGAGCATTATTAAGCAAAACACAAAGCTTTGGCTATAATCTTTCTATTTTCAATTCATGGTACAAAGAACCAAAAACTTTTACTGATTTCTACCAGAAATGAGACTTTTGGATAATGATTCATAAAACTTGACTAAATATTAGTTGATAAAATAATCAAGACGGATCTGGGACATTTTTAAATGACTATAATGTGGTATCATCTACATAAGCATCAAACCTTCTATGAATCTGTTGTAGCGACTGACAGCTGGACGATTTTTCAGAACTTCGATCAGCCTTTTGGGCCGTCCATGGTCCAAAAGGCTGATCGACCCCCTTTTAAAAGGACACTTACTAATATTGTGCTTTTGTTGCTGAGAACAGACTAAAATGAACTTTCCAAACAGAAGAAAAACACAAACATAGACCCAAAAAAATCAAATAAATTATATGTTTTTAAATAAAAAATATAAGATTAGCGTTTTGAGGCTTTTAATATTTTGGATCTACAACAATTTAAAACGTTCTCCACCAAAACTCTTTTGTCCTTTCTCCAAAATGTTGTTCACGTTGAGAATTAAATTCATATTTTTGTGTCCCACGAGTCCTTTTGTCTTGATAGTTTGGCCCACAAATGTTTGGGCACCCCTGGCCTAAGCGATTGCAGTTTTGGATAAAGTTTGTGTCTGTTGTTTCCCCTCTGGAACTATCTTGGTCATGGAGGGCCCGTGGGTGATCACAGACAGAACACTACGCTCACATACCGAAGCTTTGTTCTGAGAGATTTACAGTGAAAGCATGGGACTGCATCCACTATCAATCAGAGTCACCATCTGCTCGAGCCACAAGCTACTGCTAACCACACAAAAGCCCGATGCAATCAAAGTGTCAGCGTGTGGTCGTCGTGAGTAACCCGGGGTACAAACCAATCACAGTGCGGT